AACAGGTCATAGAGATGGGCACAAGCTTGATAAATATTTGTCTTGGGGAAAGTTTCACTCACGTAATTCACGTGCATTTGGTAATACTAAACTCTTTGAATGTGATAAAATTAGACACATACAGGCTCATTTCGCTGCAACTAATACTGAAATTTGTAATTTCAACCCTATTAATTTGAGTGTATCGAATGATTATTTATCTTTATCCACGACTTAATCAAACAGTATAGTCATATAACAGTCCAAAATTAAATTAAACTCAGAATTATTGTGAGACAAAAGCTCCTGGTCAACAAATCTCTTATCTGATTTCTCATATTATCGTATCAGATATGGTTTCTCCTTATGATTCAGGTATTTTTGAAGAAATTCCTTATAAATCGGAGGAGTGAATCAAATCGAGGTTGAAAATCTGATGCAGTTTTGCTAGATGCTGAATTTTCTGATGATCCATTGCTCTCCAATGACATTCTTAGTAAATTCGAGGAAAATATTTCAGAAGAATCAAATCCTGATGTCATATCAAATGTTATTTGTCCTTTTAATGCATGTGTTTTTTTTGTGGGAAGCTTGTTCAATGCGAAGTACGAATCCTAAACGAGCTCGACTGTGATTACAATTCGGATGATTTCATATCACCTGTTGTTCTCCCTTACCATGTAGTCACTTTTAATGAATCCTCTAATCAGTGTGAGAAATATGTTTTAAATGAAGCCACATCATTTATAACTTGGAAATATAAAAATCCAATATTATAACGTGGTGAATGATAGTGTTGGAAAGTCGATGGTTCAAATTCTACATATCAGTGGTTTCAGTACACAACCGACATGGTGATTGCATACAATTTCATGGACCAGATCGTCCGTAGTCTACATTCAATACACAATCGGACAGATTCATGGTGAACCTAAGAAGAAGTGGTATGATTGATCGCAGAAATCCGGATTCTTATTTAAGCTGTGGTTGATGTGGTGTTTGTACAAACTAATGTTTCCTTTGTACTTGATGACTGCTTGAATTCGAATTCTAAATACAAAACGTTCGTTCGTTCTCATATAATTCTTCTTGGTTAAACTGTGTTATTACTAGGATTCCTGGCTTATATTATAGTTCAAATACTTCAAAATATCACAACAGCTCTAAACAAAATACTGACGTAATAAAGGTAAATAAAGGGTAAGAAAAAATATATTACGCACAAAGATAAACAAAGAAATGTAGTACAACTAAAATGGATAAATAAGAGCTTTTCTCACAAATAAACACGTACTAGAATTCTCTTTCACTGTAGCGAGTCAATCTATTGTAGCACTATTTCCTTATGCTGATGCTGAACAGTACTTGTAGAATGTTTGCTTATTGTTATCAAATGAAAAACTACTATATTAAGTCTAGTCATCTGTTCTGTTTCAACGACCACAACTGAGTGTTAACTATTGACCTGAGTTACGTTCAGAACCCCAAGAATCTTAGTATGTCCTGGATAACCTAAGAATTATTCAGTGACGCAGTAATGATAGTAAATAAGTCTTACTACAACAACCTTCTTACTATACATTAAGAAAAGAGATATAACACCAGGGATCCAAAGAAATACCTCAACCACTATAATCATCAGGTCCACTGTGACCGATATTACATGGGTTTATATTTTATTTTCATTGGATTATCTCAGCGTCACTAGCAAAATACTCGTGGGGTCCTGTTGTAACTAATAAGTGTTCAGAACTTTATTCTGTTGCCTAACAGAAACGAGGTTGCTAGCGTCATAATACATGAAGCAGTCTAGTTCCAAACGCTACTTTCTGTTACTAATGTTTTAATGGACCTTACATTGACTTTCTTCCTAAAATCATGCTGTAGATGATAGGATATGATGCACTTCAGCATCGTATTTAAAGATGTACGTTTATCGAAATTAAAAATGGATTTCATGCTTTTATACCCGACACTCACCCAATAAATCAAAGGGAAAATATCCGAAATGCTCGGTAATGCAATAGGTTAAAGAGTTTTTTAAAACGGCTGTTCTAATATATAGATGATATAAGAGTATCATTGAATTCTTTGCGTCTGTAATAGTAAAAGGTCTAACTTCAGAAATCCATTGTTAACAGCTTGTCTGATAGTTTGTAGTTAAACTTAGCGGAGTGACTCATTCCTGTCTTCATCTAAAAAGATACACAAACCGACAAATAACTATCGAGTTGACTATAGCTAGTGCAGTTCAAAGGTTAAGCTATCCCATCGGATTTCACTGAGGACCTGGAAGCGAAACAAGGAGTTAGTGAAAAGAAATAATTTGACTAACACTCGCTAATTATAAAGATATTCGATATTGATGAATGTAATTTTAGAGCATAAGTCCTTGATGAATGCAAGAAATATGTACCTACCACCCAATAGCCTTTTGTTTTGTGACTTTCTTGGGTATTAAATAGTTAGTAAACAAGCAAGCTGAGCTAAACATGTTGAAATCATACTTGAGAGGCATCGGAAAGCCCTGTATCAAGGACTAACACTTCATTTGAACAAGTTTAAGCTTGGAACACCAGTAGATCTCTTTAACTTAAAAGCACTTGAATCATTTTATAGTAGCGGGACATGATAAACTATACCGAAGGGCACTCAATATTACTAATAAGCAAGTTGTTGTTCATTTTGAAAGAAGCGCTTCGAAAGCCCCACATGACTGTGAATGTAATTTCTGCCACACCCTCACCTCCGGGCTGTAGAAATTACGCAAACCATGGGGAGATCTCAGTTTTCTTGAAGTGTATTAGTCTACCCTGTCTTATCTGGGATCATCACCACTGTCAAACTGTGTGGCCCCTATTATAAAGTTGAGGAGCCTTCTCTTATGTATCATGTGCCGCATTGTTAGATTGGCATTCTTACTGCTTATACTTTGAAACGGGAATCTCTGGAATTCCCACAATGCAAAGTAAGAACATGAAAGACTGGTGCAGTTAAGATTCATCGCCTTACTGAAAACAAAACTCTTAAAGTCACATTATCATGAGACCAAAATACAATCATTCACACACTGATTTTTACACATACTTTATAATAACACATATGTAGTGTTTCTGTAAAAACGCATACTGAATACAGTTCACCTGAATTGATAACAGGAATGTAACTGTCAATAAATGAAAGTTACAACAGTGTCGCTTATTACTTATTCTTGAAACAAAGAACCATTACAATTCTCACGACCCAAAGTACGAACACGGAAGACTAGTACTAACGAAGACCTATTATGATGATTAGAAGTATTTGAATTATAGTACGAACTAAGAATCCCAGAAATCACGTAATCGGATCAAGAAGTACTAGATAAGCACGAACAAATGTACTATATTTGGAATTCCAAATCAAGCATTCAACAAGTACAAAGGAATCACTAGTTCATTCAAACACCACACCTATCCACCCAAAAAACACTACGATGACTTCAGTAGAAAATACACTCATCTATATATTGATTTGTACGTGCACTTGATTATTAATTAGGGAAAAGTTACATACCATAATAAAGACCAGAATTATAACAAACCGCATGCTGCATTATCATGCTGAACATAATGCACGTCAATTTAGTACAAAGAATATCATATCTTAAACAAACACCACACTGAAACAAATCAAAGTTATATTAAATAAAATATCACACTGGAAATGAAACAAGTGTAACACTGAATAATCACCATATTGAATTAAATCTGGAAGTAATGTTGAGCCAGAATAATAATGAGTTAGAAATGTAATTTGCTTTTTCATCCAGTCATATCAAAAGTTCACACTTTTAATTCTAGAAGATGTTTATATTGAACTGATGCAAAACGCTTTGACTTACATATCGTCAACTTATCGTGTCATATAACTTCACAGTCTAGAATTAATCTCAAAAAAGTTGTGATACTGTAAGTTTGGTATGCGTGCTATACAGAACTTTGAGTCCTTTCGAGAATACCTAAAAATACAGCAAGGAATATCTCTGAAGAAGCCAGATGAAGCTGTTTAACATTTTTAATACTTGAAAGTATGCGAGATTTTAAAATGAGATTTAAATTATCTTAGTGTCTGTGATACAAATTAAAAAAGTAGTTGATGACTACAGCCTTTTGAGTCACCTCTGTTCTAGATTCTATACATAAATTGAAAAGAATAATTTTTAACACTACTATTATTTAAAGAGATAGTTTAATGCTTACCACTTTTCCAGACCTCCATGTTATGATTTGTCATATTTAAATAAATTTTCAAGCTACTCCAATATAATTTTCCTTGTAGATCACTGAATGAAACTATAATTAGGTATGTTGATAGTTTTACCTATGTAACCATGTTTTATTGATTTTAAATAATTGTAAATTTCAAACAATTCAGTGGATATTTATAAGTAGTATGTGGCGGAACGCGGAGATGAAATTGCAACAGTTTCAGTGTATCAAAAGCACAGCATTGGTAGAACACTTGGAGGCCAATCGAGAAGACTGTTCAGATTGCGAAACACACCGGAATGGACGATTAAATGCCATGTATATGTATTATGTAAATACTTTGTAACTGCTCGCAACTAGTGTTCATACCTACCACCTCTTGTCGTGTTTTCCAACAGTTGCGATCAAATGTGTTAAGTTTCACTTTTTCATGATTGTTTATTTCATACTCATCAAATGATGAAATTTGGAGAAAGTAACTGAATTTAGGAACAAGTATAGCGTAGTAATATTAAGTGAAATTCACTTCAAATTATGTGCCGATAACTATATCTAAACCAATCACAGAAACTGAAACTGTCACCATTTAATGTGATTGGTAGCCAGAAATTTGGTCCACATACAAATGACCTTGTGGAAAAGGATAATGGAAACATACACACACCCACACTTCATCATCTGAGTTAGGCAATATAAAAAGAAGAAAAGCCGGGAATTTTTCACAATATTAATTATTGTCAGCTTTAACTATTTTTAGATTTTGTTAATATAATGTCATTTTTTATACGTATTTCAAGACCTGATTCTGCTTCACCTTGGGGATTCTGTATTCGAGGGGGAAGAGATTTTGATCAACCACTTATTATATCTTCTGTGAGTCTTGGAAGTCTGGCAGATATCAGTGGCTTACGTACTGGAATGCGTGTTTTATCTATTGGCGGCGATCCTACTAGCAAAATGACTCACCAACAAGCTATTCAAGCAATTATACGTTGCTGCAATGATCTGGAAATGGAGGTCTATGATACTGGTTTAAATAATTCTGGTTATTCTACACCGCTTCATCAAATGAACATGTCTATAACACAATCATCACTAAGTATTGAACTTCATAAACCAATAGATACACTAAAACCGCAAACAGTTATGTCTAAACTAGTTCATATTGGTACAAATCCAACAATAACTCGTTCTCATTCGCCGAATGGAATAACAATAAGATCATACAGTCCAAACTCAACTACACTACATAATCGGATATTGGCTGAAAAACTAGATTCAAATCGTACATCACCAATTTACACACCACAAAATAATATAAGTTTAAAGTCATCTTATTCATCATCATATAATCTGTGTAAATATAGTACGATGAATCAACCACAGCCTAATATCAAAACTAACACGAAACCAGATAATTCTTTACTAAGAGGAGTGATACGTTCAAAAGATTTTAAAATTAATCCTATATGTCATGTATGTCAACAACAAATACACGGACCATTTATCGATACGAATGACAGATGCTTTTGTCCAAATCATTTCATATGTGATTATTGTCATCGACCACTAAACGAAGATGGTTTTGCTGAACAGAATGGAAAATTATACTGTGAAGAAGATTTTAAACAATATATTGCTTATAAATGCACCAAGTGTAATTTACCAATTATTGGTCAAATTATCAAAGCAATAAATCGAACATGGCATCCATATTGTTTCATTTGTTATTACTGTCAAAAACCATTAGATGATATATTTCATGTAGAAGATGATAATCGTGTATTATGTGAAGAACATTGGAAACAATTTCATGAGATCGAATGTGCGAAGTGTAAACAATCCATTTCAGAGATCGATCGTTTTATTCAAGCTTGTGGAAAACAATATCATGCAAGATGTTTTAGTTGTGCTGCATGTCAAAAACCCCTTGAAGGTAAACCATTTCATACTAGAAATCAAAAACCTTTCTGTCTCATACATGCGAATGCAGTCGCACTATTTGGTTGAATAAATAATCTTAATAATTTTAAAGAATTGAATGACGGTGACCTGCGTTATCTACCGTTCAGTGTTGGTTTTCCCAGAAGTATTTTAATTGTATTGAAAATGGAATTAGATGGTTGTTATATCACGCTAGTCAGAAAAATTAGCATATATTTGTGTACTGTCCTTTGAAATGGTTGAATCCTTTAGTTTTTCTTGATAAAATTTAGAAAATTGACCCTTATATTTTTGCACAAACACTGATATATTGATGACTGACCATCGTTTCAACCCAATTATTCAACTTTTGTGTGAAATTTATAAATTAAGTTTCAGATTAGCTTACATTTCATATAGAACTAACATGATTAGTATTTTTAGTATGTATTTTGAATATTTTTAGTAAAAGTAAAACAATTTATCATGATTTCGTCTCATTTTTATAGTATCAGTAAATAAGTAGTATTCAGTTATCTAAGATATCATTTATTTTCATAAAATTAGATATTTTCTTGTCGTTGATTACGAAAATCCAAGAAATACCTCAACTGCAGTCAGATTCGAATGATCGGCCTAAATGTTATCTGTGTCATGTACTACTTTCTAAATAAATAATCAAGTTGCTAATATCTACTAAATTTCAACTCAATCACTAAAGTCTATATTATCATTGTATCACTAACACGATTTCACCAATTCGTAACATCAACTGGTTGAGTACATTCTTTTATTCGAAAGTAATTTTCATTCGTTAGAGAACCAGTGAATATCTGAGAATTCTGGGTTTCTCAGTAATATAAGTCTATGAGCTCACGTTAGAAAACATAAACTCTTCGGTTTGAAACCATTATCTTAATCATATAGTGCTGACCTAAAGATCATGTATTTGACTCCGTGTGTATGTTCATTTCTGAGATGTAGACGTGAATGAGAGAGTTGTCTAGTGTTCCTAGCTTTTTAAAAGCTTTCCAACTAATTTATGTTCGTGATGAAAACTGAATTCAAAGTACATAAAACCTCTACAAGCATAGTATACTTTTGTTAAGATGTCAGTCATACATAGTTATTATCTCTATATGTAATGGAAAGTTTTATGAAATATGAATTTCAGGTCGAAAACTACAAGTGACAAACTTTACTTTTTCTTAAAGTCTTATCAATTGTTTGGATGTTTATCGGGTTCCGGAGACGAAAACGACATTATTTCTGGGGTTAAAGTGTTCTAGATAGATCACAATTCAAACTTAAAAGTTACTGCAATTTTTACACCTAATTGCATATATCAAGTCTCTAATCTTGAATGAACAAAAACTGTTTGATTATTTTAAAATTTCAAATCTTTAATAACACTTCGTTTTTGGTGATTAAAGTTGTACAAAACAGTTCTTATCAGCTTTTTTCAAATGATAAAGTAATGCACTGTAGTACAGTTTAAACACCACCATTTGTTATGATCATTCAAACTATTTGACATGAAACTTTAGGCGGTTCGGTAGTATTCAAGGCCAAGTACGTGAATTTGTACCTGGTAATAAGTTAATAATAACAATAAAGTAAAATTCGTTTGGTAATGTTAAGCAAAACATTAGTCTGTTGACCATCTAACAACACATTCTGTAGGAGTCAAATGCGGTCCAAATTACTAATTAGTTTATCAGTACCCCTTGTCTCAGTAAGTTATTTTTATGAGATGTGAATTTTGGAATCTTTAAAATGTCATTAAAATGATACATGATTACATAAGTTTATTATGTTCCATACACTGTACGCTTGAAACACTAACCTCCTAACCGGTTTCCAGATTTCCATGAATCTAAAACTACTGAATCAAAAACAGGCCAGTAATTAACTAAAATAGTAATAAACTGAAGCAACTTCAAAAAGAAATACTTACAACCTTAACAGTGCATTCATTTTCATAACAGAATCTAATTTATAAACACTTCCCATTCCTATGGAAGTTCAATTATGATGTGACTACCATTCTTTTAAGTTCTTTAATTGAGTCTTTTAGCTAACGAATGTGTGAAGTTTACATGAAAACAGACAAAATATTTACTAAGCAAATTATCCTATTGATGTTCTCTTGCTTATTATGCTGAATAGATATCAGAACAAGAATTCTTTTATGATCATCATCAAATTTATCACAACCTATGAGTTTATAGACCAACTATAGTCAACAGTCTTGTGTAAAAAATATCTACAAACAATCAAAGAATAGAATATATAAGCTAACAATATTGTTTTTGATGATATCCTCATCAGGCTTTACTCTAATATAGGGTAATATTTATATGCATATACGAAATCAATCAAGGTAGTTTATGATTCAGTGATAACAGTAGAATAGATTACATAAATAAACATAATAATTAAAGAGTACAAGTTGATAGTGTGATGACAGGTATACTGGTTGTGATAAGAATAATAAAGGCTTGTACCGTGATTAATAGTGGGAACTAAGTCAATGATTTGAAAAATATAGATGCTGAGATAACATTCATAAAAACTATAAGATCATGTAATAACAACTGCTCGGATAATTGGACAAATGAAGCTTATATTTTGGAGAAAAGTAGGTGGGAGGGAGCGAAAAAAAATAAACGAACAAAGAGTATTTTCCTGGTTAGCGATTGTTTAGCTAGTTAATTTTCTGCGGGATAGGGTCGCTAACCCCATGACAAACCCTCCTCCTTTATCCGGGCTTGAGACTGGTAGCAACCCCCGGAGGGACTCCAGGCGGAGTTAACAGAGTATGGAAAATAATAATAAATAAAATCATTTACCAGGGCCAAGGAAGAGAAAAAGGTGTTACAAATTTTCTATGAATACAATAACTTGAATTGTTAGCTTGCATTCTTATAGCTTCTGTTATTTGTAGGAGACGCGTTCGAACCCCATAAGGAAAAGTAGTAAAAATTCGATAAACAACTTTAAATGATCTATTTCTGTCGTCTACATGACTGCTATCGACCAAGTGTGATAGAATGGAGCTGCGTACTGTTCTGACGGTATCCTTTCCTTACCACGAAGGGAGATGTTCACTAACTCGTTGGCTTAGTTGTCTGGTTGTGCTCCCAATATAGCTTTCTCCACAGGAGCAGATAAATTCGTAGATACTCATAAATGTTACAGGGCCATGTAACTTATCCTTTAGTTGAGGAATCACCATACATCAGGTCGAGAACGATAGACAGATGTTAGTTGCATTAAACGTTCTCTTAACTACTCTAGTCAGTTTATCCCGTAGCACATAACCAGCTACACCTCCTTTGAATTGCAGCTTCAGGAAGAGGGGTTTACTACGAGCCGTTGATGTAGTTATTTTCCTCTTTGTTACATTCACGTGTTTCTTCAAACAACCTTGTGGACAACCCATTCCAACCAACATATTATGTACAAGCTCTAGTTCCTTGTTTATAATATCTTCTGAGCACATCTTCCTAGCTCTTTTTGCAAGACATCTAACTAGGTTACTCCAATAACGAATGGGTACAAAGTTCAAGAAATGGGTGTACCGGCTCCGTGAAGAACTTTCACTGTACACACTTCTACTGATAGAACCATTTTCTTTTCTTGACTCAATGTAAACCACTTCTTCAGAGAATAAATAACCAAATCAAAATTTAATTGAATTCAAACGTCAGCAAATTTAATCTTTCTACTCACTGGGATATTACAAATATATCAATTTATTTATAAAAATCTACCCAATGCTCAATTTATTCGAAATTATTAAATCAAACCTTGGTAATGATACCTACACTTTCTTTTCTGTTTAACAAAACGTCAAGGAAATGTAGTTTATTATCAAGTTCCTCTTCACACGAAAATTCGATTGCTGTATGTTTATTGTTAAATAACTCTACGAGTTCTTCTTTTCCAATGTTCTGATTGATGACAATGAAAGTATCAATAATGTAACGACAACAGAAGTCAATCTTATCGATAACCTCTTTGAGAATATTCAAATTGTACAAACTTTCCGCCCATAAATTCAACCATTTTTTCTAGTTCAAAGGTTTTAAAAGAATAAAACAATGTGTTTATCAGTATGAAGGAATAAGCACAAAAAAAGAGAACTAGGTCAAACAATAAACGCCTGAAAAGAAAAAAAAATCAAAATATGAATGTATAGTTTAACATATGTACACAAAATACAACGTACTAAATAGACTATTTAGATATCCATACAGAACGAATGTAAAAGTACAAACCGATGATTCAAAAATTTGATACATTTAACTGTTAACTTTTTCCATAACAATTTATACAAAAATTTATAATAGTCAAATGTGATTTGAAAATCATATTGTTGCAAAGGATGAAGGGTAAGTTCAAAATGTGAAAGAGACAACGAATAATTCGATATAAGAAGATTAAGAAACACTAGAAGAATGAATTAACAACCAAATTACCGTTCATAAAAATTAGGTGTTCGAATCATGGAACAATGATATCTTGCACTTACCGCTTCTGTACATAGAGCTTAACTTTGAAAAGATAAATGCACATGTTATTCATAAATCCTCCCCTAAAATTAAATCGTTCGACTGTATAGATGATTTTGAAGTAACTATCAGGTGGAGCCATGTGATTAAAGTCTACAAGATGTTCTCATATTGAACTGATGATTGTTTCACATAGATCTTTCAAGAATCACTCAGGATAGTGTTCGGAGATGTGTTTAGAAAATTCTCGTTTTGTGAGGTTAATATATGTGTACAGCTTCGGTGAATGATATTATCGAAAAGAAGATCCTCTTAGCTAAATTGTCTTACTTGTTTTTTCAATGACATCATGAGTTACTTCCGCTAATTAATAAATTATCTATTAAAATACAAAACAATATGGGAGAAATACTTGAATAAGTGAAACCTGGATAGATTGATAGTTAAAACGAGCAACGAATCAGATTGCATTATAGATACTAGATAGAACAACTTTAACTTACATAATGAAATCACAATAATTCATCGATTTGTAGCCATCAAACAAATCAAGACAGATCGAATGAAAGT